CTCGTGACGTCCCCCCCGTGACGTCACCCCCCTTGTCCTGATTTCCCTCCTCGCCCCTCACCCCCCTCAGAGCCCCTGGCTTAGAATCCGCATAGTATCACTACTAATGAATCTTCACAAAATAATGTTTCAAACAGAACGATATTATCCGCTTCTAGTTTTAATGCATCAGAAATTAATATTGTTGGTTCATGCAATGACGAACTAATGTATGTTGAAAAGTCTAAGATAAAATCAACCAAACGAAACTGTTGCTCATTTTGCATGAAGTTGCAATCGCAACTCGCACGTCATTTGGAAACAGTACATTATAATGAACCCGAAGTAAAAAAATGTGTCATTCTGCCAAAAAAAAAATCCGGAAAGTAAAGAAATAATAAATACCATACGAAAGATGGGTAACTTCAAATTTAATACGAATTCCGAACTTAATACTAGGAAACTTATTGTATCCAGACGTCCGAATGAAAAAGTGGTAAATATAGCGAATAGGGGACCCAGCTCCAATGACCTTGACCTTGACATATGTTATCAAGGACATAATTATGAGTAACTTTTTCTTCTAATTTAATCGTCGCTCGTTGCTTTTTTGTTAATAACTTTTTAATAAGCAACGAGCGACGATTAAATTAGAAGAAAAAGTTACTCAGAATTATGTCCTTGACAACATATGTCAAGGTCAAGGTCAAGGTCATTGGGGCTAGGTCCCCTATTCGCTATATTTACCGAAAAAGTTAATAAAACTGCAACTAATTTTATTGCATGTGCGAAATGTAAAGGTTTTTTTGCCAAAAATACAATACGCCATCACGCTCGAAAATGTTTGAACAAAGATTTTCGAAAGAATAAAAGCATTATGGTTATGGGCAGAAAAATTACAGGCAGAATACATCAACTGGCAAATGAGACTTTAAGAAATATGATGTTTTCAGGAATGCGAGATGATATATTATAGTTACACGAATTCTGAGATATGATGAATTGTTGATCTTATATGCTAATAAACTGTGCATCAAATATAAATTCCAACATCAACATGATATGATAAGAGCACGATTGCGCGTCCTTGGACGTTTCTTTTTGGCATTGAAGGAAATAAATAAAAATATAGACGATTTCCAGTCACTCTATCATCCAAAAGTATATGATGGCTGTATTTCTGCAATTAATATAGTAGCTAGATACAATAATGAAAAACAACTTTATAAAACTCCTGCAGTAGCGGCTAATTTGTCAACCTTTGTTAAACATATAGGTAATCTTCTCATTACAGAATGTATCAAGAGAGAAGATGAAACGAAAAAGAAACTAGTTAAAGATTTTTTTAAAATTATTACTTGTAGATGTTGGCACGAGTGTCAACAAAACTGTCTTAGAGACACAATCCACTTATAAAAGACATAAAAAGATAAATCTTCCGTCATTGGAAGATATCCAAATATTGTATACATATTTGGCGAAAAAAAGAACAGAAGCTTACACAGCATTAAAAGAATCTTTTTCATATAAGAAATGGCTTTCTCTGGCAAAAGTGACATTAACTTCAATACATGTCTTTAATAGACGACGAGCAGGAGAAGTAGAACGAGCCCTCATTCAAGATTTCGAAAATTATAAAAAACTAAATGAAAATATGTACACTGATATACAGGATGGTCCTCGTAACGGTCGCCACGATTTTTAAGGCACTTACAATAATCTGACATAAAAAAGTCATAAACAGAAATTTATCAGTTTCTAACCGGCAACAAATTGCAATAATAAAAATTGACCAAACATTTTTTTCCATAAAAAAGCAAGGTCACCTTAGGTTTTTTTAAATGGAACTGCCTACTTTTTATTGCATATCCTTGTAGCTTATCTCGAGAGCTTTTCAAAACACTATAATAAAGTATTTTTTCATTAAGTACTTTTTGAGTTATTTTATATCTTATTCTGACATATTTTGATATAAAAAATAAAATATCTCGTAAAATATTTAGTTTTCGATAATCTTACCGTAATACTTTTATGTACAGAATAATGAAACAAATAAATTAGTGTAAAAAAACAAATAATTGTTAAAAAAAAATACATTATAAATAATTACATACTTTTACTTAAAAACAATTATTTTTTTTTTGCTAATTGATTTGTCTTTTCGAATCTTTTCGAATGCGTTAATTTAATTTTGAAATTTCGAAAAGAAGCTGATATACCCCCAAAAAATCCTTATATTTTTGGATTATTTGGTTTGAACAAACATAGATACAGATACCTTAGAGCCTGTGTTTTAATGCGGAAATTCGCAAAAGATTGTAACGCCACTCATTCAACTACTCTGCGTGGTACAACATTGCGTAAACATATAGCCACACATTGCAATCAGTTAAACCTCAATGACACTGATGTTACGGATCTTGCTACATTTATGGGTCACGCGGATAAAATACATAGAGACCATTACAGACAACCACTAGCGAGCAGAGATATCCTTAAAATATCTCAATATTTAGAAGCTGTACAAGGAAATGTACAAGGTATAAGTACACAGGACACAAACGCACAGGATTCAAACGATGAATCTGATATGGAATCGGATATAGAACTCGAAAAGCAAACCTAAGGACCTTGTGGCTTGGGCGATTGCCTCCACAGATACAAGCGATACTAGCTACACGAACTGAGGACGGACTGAGCAGCGTAGCAGAGCAAGCAGACCGAATACACGAGGTCAGCAACCGAACACTCGTGGCGGCAATCGGACAGCAAACGGCAGTAACACAAGCAACCAACCCATGGACAGCGCAGATAGAAACGCTGACAAAGCAGGTCGCAGCACTCACGACACAGATGACAAGGTTCATGAAGCAAAGGAATCCCCGAGGCAGCGCGAGAGAACGCTTAAGAAGCAGGAACCGAAATTATCAAAGAACACCTAAACAAGAGGGCATATGCTACTACCACAAACGCTTCGGAGCGGAGGCACGCAAATGCACCCAACCTTGCACGTACAAGAAGCCAAAAAACGAGGAAAGCAGTCATTAAGGGCGGCCAATGACGACGACATAGAACCTCGCCGCCTGTACATAAAAGACCAGAAATCAAAAATAACATTTCTGATAGATACAGGCTCCGACATAAGCGTTTATCCACGCAGGTTTATGCAGGGAAATCAGCAAATACAGCCATTCGATCTATTCGCAGCAAACGGTACGAGGATCGTAACGTACGGCATGATAACCCTGCAACCAAACCTGGGATTGAGACAAGCATTTCCATGGCGCTTCACTGTAGCAGACGTAGCACAACCGATCATCGGCTCAGACTTTCTGGCTCAATATCACCTATTACCAAACGTCAAGAACCGAAAACTAATAGACGGGAAGACCGGACTGTCCACGCCAGGAACGGCAACATACAGCGAAGTCACCTCGATAAAAGTTGTTAAAGAGGAAACACACTACCACCGTATAATAGCAGAGTTTCCGGGAATCACACAGCCCGCAGGAGCGCAGAGGATAGCAAAACATAATACAGAGCACCATATAGCGACAACGCCAGGACAGCCGGAAGCAAGCCGACCACGCAGATTGGCACCCGATAAATTACAAGCGGCAAAAGCGAAGTTCGACCTTTTGCTACAAGAGGGAATTATAAGACCATCAAAAAGTCCTTGGTGCCTAAAAAAGAGAATAACTGGAAACCATGCGGAGACTACCGCAAACTAAACGCGAGAACGATTCCAGACAGCTACCCAATTCCGCACATAGAGGACTTCGCGCAAACTCTGCATCAGAAACAGATCTTCACAACAATCGATCTAGTACGGGCATACAACCAGATCCCGGTACACCCCGCCGATATAGCAACACCATTCGGACTCTACGAATTTCTATACATGCCGTTCGGATTGAGAAACGCTGCACAAACATTTCAACGTTTTATAAACGAAATCCTGCACGGACTGGATTACTGTTATGCCTACATAGACGACATACTGATAGCCTCGAAATCAAAAGAGGAACACAGTAAACATTTGAGAGAAGTCTTTGTAACGGTTCACCTTTCCCGTACGCCGCGGATCAAGGCTCGCCGGTGCCAGGATTCGGGAGAAGGGGGAAACTCCAACTTACTTTACCTTGGTATAAGCGGTTTAAACCTTTATGTTTATTTAAGCGATTATCAACATCTAACACTAAGCTATATTATATGTACAATGCAACATGCGGGAGCGGTGCGTACAGAGATTCGCGTACAGAGTTTCTCGCGTGGCTGGTGCGCGCGGAGCTCGGAAAGCGAGCGTGGATCATGCGGACGTGTTGTGCGATCGCGGGGTTCGCATGCAAGCGACTACGGTTATTCTAAACTGAACAGAACGGATCTTACGCTACGGGTGTCGCGCGGCCTTCGTTCGTAATTCCAACGGCCTGACTACCTTATCCTTAAAAGGACGGGGCGTCGGCGCTTTCTGCGGCCTACCCTTAGAAAGGCTAGCGCGCTTGTGTAGTCTGAAGGCCGTGCATATAGGTGGAGTTGGTGCGACACTGACGGAAATCGTAATAAGGCTCTACAATTATAATGCGCGGTAGATGCAGTGCGGTCTTATAGTACAAACAGGTCGCGGTATATACAAACGGTGCTAGAGTCCCTTAGGACGCGAAGACCAAAGCGGTCTTATGGTATAAACAAGTCGCGGTATATACAAACGGTGCTAGAGTCCCTTAGGACGCGGAGACCAAAGCGGTCTTACGGTATAAACGCGGTACGGACTTATCAACTAGTAGGAGGCGCCGTCCCAGCAACCGGGAAGCCCGGCCTAACTACGGGAAGCCCGTAGCCTGGTGTAACGCGAGGTATCAGGATGCGCCGTCCCAGCAACCGGGAAGCCCGGCCTAACTACGGGAAGCCCGTAGCCTGGTATAACGCGGGGTATCAGGATGCGCCGTACCGGCAACCGGAAAGCCCGGCCTAACTACGGGAAGCCCGTAGCCCGGTGTAACGCGAGAGACCCAGAATTACAAAGGATCCTGAAAGCAGAGAAAGGATTAAAACTAACGAAGATACCTTTTCCCGGAACAATAACCAGATTGTATTGCGACACAGAAACGCCTATAACACGACCATACGTACCAGAAGCAGTACGACGACAAATCTTCCTGTCACTGCATAACCTGGCACATCCAGGAAGAAAGGCAACAGTAAAACTCATCACACAACGATACGTATGGCCACAAGCACAAAAAGACTGCACAAGATGGGCACAAGCATGCATACCATGCCAAAAAGCAAAAATCTCAAAGCATAATCAAGCACCGTTGGAAAACTTCCTAAATCCCACACAGAGATTCCAACATATACACATGGACATCGTAGGACCCCTACCAATTTCGAAGGGATATCGATATTGCCTAACCATCATAGACCGATTTTCGAGATGGCCAGAAGCCATCCCAATACGAGACATAACCGCAGAGACAGTCGCACAACACTTATACACCGAGTGGATCACACGCTACGGCACACCAGCAAGAGTTACAACGGATCAGGGCCGACAATTTGAAGCAGATTTATTCAAACAGCTAACACAGCTAACCGGTACGACGCACATAAGGACAACAGCATACCACCCGGCAGCCAACGGAATGGTCGAGCGCTTACACAGACAATTGAAGGGCGCAATCAAATGCTACCAAACCATCTCATGGACGGAGGTACTGCCAACAATACTGCTGGGCATTAGAGCTGCATGGAAAGAAGATCTGCAGGCAACCCCCGCCGAGATGGTTTATGGAGAAACATTTCGCCTCCCTGGACAATTCGTAAGGGAACAACAGGGACAGGAGAGAGAGCAACAAACAGACACAGTAGTAGAGAAACTACGCAGAACTATGCAACAGTTAAGACCCGTTATAAAAAGGCACGGACAGAAAGCAGTATTCATATTCAAGGACATGGCAACGACACCACAAGTCTTCGTACGCCATGACGCCCCAACCGGAGCTCTACAGCAACCATACGACGGACCATACGAAGTACTGCAAAGAAACGAGAAGACATACAAGATCAAGGTCAACGGAAAACCAGTTAACATCTCAATAGACAGACTGAAAACAGCATACGTCCTAGAAGGAGAACCAACGCCAACAACACCAACATCACCAACAACGCCAACATCGCCAACAACGCCAACAACACAAGAGCAGGAACAACCAATAAAAAAGGGACACACCCGATCCGGAAAACCAATACGACCACCGGTCAGATTCAACATCGATCAATAAAGGGACTTCACCACAACCAAGGCTGTGTTCCGATTCCCCACCCGGGTGCACCCAGACACCCAGAGAGCGTTTAGATTGGCCAATATATATTATTACATCATGCTATAAACTGCATTTAGCGAAAAAACGAACTACACGAACGCAGCTCAAACACAACATTTTAGTTGTATTAAGCAATCAATACATTTTGGAATCTGTAAAAATGTCAAGCTCAGCCAAGAGATTTATTCTAAATGCCAAAAGACATGAGTTATGTAAATCGCAAAACAATGAAATTAGTTTTGATGGATCATTAATTATTCGTGATAAAATTAGTAAGCTCATATTTATTAGATTATATATATATAAAATCCCTTGTGGAGTTTTACTGGCATTCAGTGTGAGAACAAGTTTAAGGATGTTAGAAAAGCATATACCAAAATAAAGGATCAT